CCTTCCAACCCTAAATCTATGAAACTATGAAACTATGACCATCATAATATTTCAACCTAACAATCCCACACCCAATGCATTGGCAGTGCCCTTGCCCCTCACTCCACCTGCCCCCTCTGCTCTTTCTTTATCTTTATTGTAGGGGGCTTTGTTGCTGCTTTTGGGTTTTTGTACTAAAGATCCTCCATTTGTTAGGGGTACTTTCTGTCTGTAGCTGGGAGAGGCCAAAGTGAACACATTATGAGTAGCTTCCATTACGAGGATGGTGCATCAGGAGTCCTTGAACCCAATGACTCAGTTACTTGTTTTCCCTTGGTCACACTCAGTGCCATTGTGGGTGGAAAGAAATGATTCCAGGACTCCAACTTAGACATCTTCTCTCCATTCCAGTAGATTTAATTGATTTCATAGACATTAGGGCTGGAAGAGACCTTGCAAGATTGGGTCCAGCCCCTGCTCAAGGGGCAGAAGTCAGTTGGGGTCAGGTCACCTCAGCAAGCGTTTCTTAAAGGTATCCAGAGCGGGGGCTTCTGAGGGGAGTCTATTCCACTAACACTAGGTTTCCTTGACACAAGAACTAAAGCAAATCAAGAACACGCAGATGGATTTCTAGAGCACCATGCCCCACACGTGCCCAGGAAGCAGCCAAAGTCCTCGCAGAACGTGTCTTCCACCAGCGCTGCAAGAAGGGTAACTGTGCAATGCCTGGGTGCAATGAGCACAGCTTGTCCTGTTGAACCTCGATTACAATGGGAGTTGGGGATGGGAAATGCTTGGGAATGACTTTGCTGGAAAGGCCGGAGGCACTGAGCAGCCAGACTTTAGTATTAGCTCCTCTATTTCATGGGTGCAATTGCATCTGTTACCAAGACCAATGGCACTCCAGCTCAGAGGAGCAAAGCAGCCCTCCGAGCCTTTCCTGGCTGACAAGTAGAGGCTGGAGAGATTCCCTGAGAGCAGGAGGTCCTGAATCAGTTCCTAGCAACTGCAGCCCACAAATCTGCTGTTCACAGTGTAATTATGCATCATTAGCTATTTCCAAGTTAACCACCCAGCATCACCACCAGCTTCTAATGGACGCCCCCTAGGAATAGCAAGGTCAAGAAAGCTGGGCTTTGTGACCCTGGGAGTGTTTGATGCCCTGTTCCTTAGCTGAGGAAACAACAGACATCATGAGATGTCCGTTTGCAACTAAAACAGACTTACCTCAGCCTGTTGCCCGTCGGCTTGAGCCCGCAAAGCCCGCAGAAGCTGGAGGGCAGGCGGATGCTCCCGGCAACATCTGTGCCAAAGCCCAGGAGGGACCCTCCTCCTGCGATCAGTGCCCCTTCCCCTCCAGAGGAACCACCGGGGCTTTTCTTATGGTTCAGAGGATTCACTGTCTGGCCGAAGATCACATTGCTGCAGTCGTAGCTGGGAGAGGTTCAAAGCAGGTTTTAAGGCTGTTTGCATTTAAACGTGCACAAATATAAGAGTCAGAGCAAGGGCTCAAGATTCAAGAGAGTGAGCAACCGTGGTGAGGGCAAATCAGCCTGTGAAAGATTTGGTGATGAAGCTAGATTAAAGGATGGGAGTGAAAGTGGTTGGGGCTAAGAATCAAGGCAAGTTGTATCTCCATTTTCTGTACTATATGCACAGGCCAGGTAGGCTAAGCCAGCTCCCGAAATCGTATCAGGAGGGAAAAGGAGGTAGAGCCAATGTCTGATCTGCACAATGAGTTGAGACGAGGAGGTGGTTGTCATTGTGAAAGAGGAGTGGTACATGGTAAGAGCCAGTGATTACTTTATCATGGACTGTGGGACGTTGGTTTTCACAAACGGGATTGCCCCCTGCCTCTTCAACACCTTGACAATCACGCTGTCCTCTTCCTCCACTTTGCCGAGAAATTGCACCAAGCCGCCAGTAGAGATGTGTCCCTTTGGGGAATGGAAAAGAAAGCTCATGAGACACATCAGAGCAACGTGCTTTGAACTCTTCAATTCTTTTTTCCTGCCAGGATATGATTTTTCAGCCAGGTTGGTAGAAAGGAAATAGGCCAACACTCCCCCTGAAGTCTGAGGATCTGTCATGCAGCTAACCCTGAAAAAGGGCAAATGCAGGAACGTGGCCTTGCCACATGACCAGCAAGCAACAAAACAGCCATGCAAAGTAACTGGTGGATATTGCCACCTTCTTTGCTGGTCATGTCTGCCAGCAATTGCTCAGCCTTCTTCTACAGGAGCATATCCATGCAGCAATTTGGGATTGACTTTGAGGGTTGCCCCCCAAAAGCCTGGCCCCTCTGAGCTGGCCCCTCATCTGTACATCTTGTAGTACCTGAGCATGAAGCACAGAAGGAGAGCTGAGCAGTGGGCAGACTGATTCCGAGTAGGACTCTACTTGAAGAAACTTCCTGCTTCCTGAGCGGGAATCAGCCGGCCCACTACTTGTCTCTCCTCTGGGCACGAGAGGCAGGAAGTGGGGTGCAGAAGGACTAGAATTCAGGCACAGGGACTGGTGGGATTGCTGCAGGCTAATTTCCTGTTCTTGCAGCCCCTGAGCGGGCTGGAAGTAGACAACCTCAGGTCCTGATGCTCAGTAGAGCAGCCAGGATTGGATTGGGCTGAAAGGGTGTCAGCACATGTGCAGCAACACATTAATGTGGTGCTGTGACTCCCTGTTTGGGAGGTAGCGTGCACGGAGTGGGCACGCCGTATCTCAGCCTGGAGTTGTAACTGTACAGCGTTGTCTCCCTCAGTTTTGGTAGCTTCACCTTTTGGCTGGTTGGTAGAGAGCCTCTTTAGACTTATGGACTCCCAGATGACTTTCAAGAGATATCGAGCATCATATACATTTTGCTTCATTTGCTTACAGCTTAGTCTCCACACCCTCATCTTGGAACCAGTCGATATTTCCATCTTTGTATGCCTCTGCATACACAGCAAAGCCCCTTGCTTCAGTTTAATGAAATCCATTTCATGATACTACTCATCCCAAGAGGTCTCTTGTTCATGTGAGTCTCATCTCTGTGGCTTCTTGTACTCACAAGTTTCCATTTCTTGCTGAAGTTCTTTGTCTCCATGTGAACTAGGCTGTAATCCCACCATGGCTTCTGCTTTGCTGGCTGGAGGATGAGGCCTCCATAACCATCCCTTAAAAGCAGCCGATTCAATCCCCACCTCCCCTGTCTAAAGCAGACACAACATACAGCTAGTCTGGCCCTTGCAGGGAATTGGACTGTACAGCACCAGGATTAATAGACTGTGGGGGCGTCTACATGTTCATTAATGCACAATGGTGGTGTAATTATAGTGCATTAAGTTAGCACCTATTATTACTTAATAACAATTATTAATGATACTTATTAATACTTAATATCAATAATATTAATACTTAATGAGTATTAATAATAATTAATGCCAATAGCACCATAATTGGAGCACATTAGCACAGATGAGCACTTTTTAGGTGATGCTTAATGCCCATGGGACTAATTCACTGTGCATTAGGGCATTAGCACGGTTTTTATGTGACATGCTAATGCGCAGTAGAATTAGTCCAATGGGCATTAAGTGTCTCCTGTTGATGCACCCTATTAAAGCAAACTTTTCTGTGTTAGAGAAGGGTCCAAACATGGAGCTGATATAAATCAGTAAAGCTCTGCTAGCTTATTAATACCAGCTAAGTATTTGGCCCAGAAGATCTGTCCTTTCTGCAGAGGTAAGAGGTAAAGGTCTACGAATCGGTGGTTAAAAATTCTCAGTGAAAGTTGCCCAAAGGTTGGCTTTAACGGTTATTAGTTTCTTGAGTGCGAAAGTTTAACCATTATTCATTGGGGCACAAAACTTGTCTTTTAAAAGCCTTCAAACTCCAGGTTGTAATGGGCACCACAGCGGCCTTGCTCATGACAAAGTATTCGACAGTCTATAGGAAGGAGAGAAAGAGAAACACACAGTCTATCCAAAGGGGAGACGTACTTTGCAGCCGATGTGATCCTTGATGCTGATGGGCACACCGTACAGCAAACCCTTCTCCTTCTGTTTTGTGAGGTCCTGCAGCTGCTGCTCACAACCCTGGATGAAATCTGTCACACAGTTCACCTCCTGGGTCACTGCCAAGGCCTGTGGGTGGACACATGGAGAACAGGAGCAGGGCATAAAGATAGATTTCAGCTTGAAACATTTGCAAACTTCTGGGCTTCCTTCCTGCCTTATAGTCAGCCTTATAGCCTTTCTGGAGAGACCATGAAGAAAGATACTCACTGGGGTCTCTTTTTAGGGCAGTTTTGTGCTCCAGGCCAACTCTATTCCTTTTCCATAGGCCATTATGAGGGTGAAGACTTGGGGCTGATAGAGTCCCTCAATATATTCATTTCTTTCAAAGCCCGAGTCCTGGAGTCATGTGCAGAGGCAAAACTAGGAGTTTTGGTGTCCTGGGCAGAGATGCCCAAGGGTGGGGTCGGGAAAGCATAAGGAGATTAATGGTACATGGGCTGGTACTCCACCATTCTGGATCCCCTCTAAAATCGGTGCAGAGGGCTGGTGCCCCGTTTGCTACCCCCCGCCCAGTTACACTCCTGGTTACATGGGCATAAGACTTCCAGCTTTCATTTCTAAACAAGCAATGCATTTATAGCCACTTGAAGGCCAAGAAAAACATGGAAATAAGGCATTAGAAGGCACAAAAAAACCCTGTTTTTTTTTCAAAAACTTGCTTTTTAGAGTTTTGCTCCCAATTTCTGATGGTCAAGGATTGGCAAGACTGGGTTTTGGTTGCTCCAGGCTGAAGTCCCCTTGGTGAGGTAGAGGTCACAGGCTGTATTTCCTTACCAACCCACATATAACGCAGCACTCCCCAGCATGTAGCTGGATGGTGTAACTGGTACTTCTTTGTGGGACCCACTGTCTTCCTTTTCTGATTGAACCACATACAAAGGTTGGTAATCTTGCTTTGGGTTTGGTAAATGACCGGAGTTTTTTTATCTCAAGCATATGGTATTAGATCTAGAGGCCTTGGGATAGGTCCTTGTTGCCGCACCAGCTGTCCATGGGTGTAACCTTATCCCTGCTCACTTTCCTATCTGTGCCTCTTCCACGCACACCTACACCTGGGCAAACACGTTCAGGATCCATTTTCCACTGCTGCAAATTCTAGATCTCGACATGCGTTATCTTGGGGTTTCATGCCCATCACTGAGGAAATCCCATTGCTGCCCACCCAAGTCTACTAGGCCCAACAGGCTGAGCAAAAACCTGGGGGCTTCTCCTTCCTGCCTGAACATGGGGTTGAACTCACCTTGTCTATGTATGTGTAGAGGACAATTTCTGGAGACAAGGAACCTTCCTTTAGCTTCTCAGCCAGCTCCACAAGCGGCAGGGAGAGGATGAAACTGGTCTGAACTCCTGGGTTCTGCAAGGTGTAGAAACATCACTTCGTGGGGAAGGATTCGAGTAAAGGGCTGTGTTCATATTGCACCCACATGACTCTGGTGTAAGTGAGGAAACTGGTGGCGTTTCATCGTGGATGAGTTTGGCTCCTTGGATTAGCTTCCAGTCAACACCCAGGAGTATTCAGAAACCCTTGCCAATGATTTATTCATGCACTTTTCCTCCTAAATAGCTGTGTGTGTTCCTAGGGTGACATGGAAGACTCCTTCTCTTGGATCCCATATAGGTTCACCCCCAGGAAGGCATTTTAGTCAAGGATAGGGCAGGAAGGCATTGGGAAAACAACACCATGGTTGTACATCAGTAAGCAAGAGCCCTCAGTGGGATGAACATCCACCCAGCTGATTAGAAATAATGCCCTTTCTTGGACAAAGCATATCCTTGATATAAGCCTCAACTTGCTGTAAAAAAAGGTGGTTGGTATCATTGCTCCCACTTTACAGATAGGGAAACTGCTAGTATAGCATAGGGACGCCTCATGTCGTTGCTGTTAACGTTGTTTCATTATTACCTTGCAGATCTTTAGGGAACATACTTGTTTAAAGTTGTGCAATGTTCGTTATAACGTTGTTTGGCTGCTGCCTGCTAGCTGGTAACTACAGTGATGTAATTGGATTTGCTTAACGTTGTTTCACTTGAAGTCGAATTTTTCAAGAACGTAACTATGACGTTAAGCAAGGAGTAGCTGTATTAGTATCATAGAATCACAGGGCTTTAAGGAACCTGAAGGACCATCTAGTCTAACCATGTGCATGCATATGTGTGTGTGTGTGTACACTTTGCAAAATATATATATTTTGCAATATCTTTTAGGTATTATTTTACATCGAAACCATTGCTGATTTTTTTATTTGTTTCCCAAAACATAAGGTTTCAATACAAGAAGTCTGTGGTAGAAAAAACAAAGAAACAATAAATGATTTAAAAATATATTATTCCTAAAAAGATCCAAACAAACAACTACCGGTCAATCAAAAATCTAGCAAGGAACAAAGCCCTAGAAAGAAATGGGAAACTGTACCAATCTGGGCCCTGGAATAATGGAAATGATTTTAAATTGCCCTGTGAAGTCATCTTCCCGATAGATGATGAGCTCTACATTAGCCGAATGG